CAAATCGATCTACGGTTTTTTTTTCGATATTTTTTTACATTTTCCGGCTTTATTCTCAAAAACACTCGTTTGTAACCTAAGCGTTTGACAGCTGATTATTAAAAGTTCTACTTTTGTTACGATGATAACAGCCGAGTGGTGGCGCTACTAGTAATACTTCTTTAGCGTATAATTTGTAAAATATATATTTGGTCGACTGGAATCCACTTCATTGTGACACTGCTGTCAATTTTTGTTTTTGTCATTATTTATCATTTTAAGTTATCTTTTCCTCCTCTGATTATGCCGAAATTATGATTATTAAGAAGCTATTTTCAATGCTCTTGATGCAAATAGTAGGAAGAGCATAAGGGAAGTTGCACGCAAGAACGTTCATTATGCGAGTGCAGCACCTGCAGCCGAAAGATAATCCCGCTAGAGTGGAATTCTATAGTGGTTGCTAGAGATTTTGGCTTTGGGGTACAGAACTAGTTGTTTATTTTTTACTTTAAAACTTTGGCGGCCTGTATGAAAGTATGAAGTATGAAATTTCTTTTTGAAAGGTTATAACCTATACTACATTAGAACTACACGAGCGAAGCACACAGCTAAATAATAAATACATTTCTTTATTGCAAATATTAAATTATAAATTTATGTCCTTAGTACCTTTAATGTTAAAACGTTTAAGAATGTAGTTATTTAATTAATTTATGGAACTATGTTGTTTTGGAAATGGTTATTATTTGCACTATAATTATGTAGGTATAAATGGGTTATTATTAACTATAATTAATTTTAATTAGATTTTGGATTACTTATAATAAATCACCTTTAAAACATGTATATTATTTGTTTTAAAAAACCTATTATAATATGAAGGGGGCAGCACCAAAATTAATACCTTAATTTCCAGAAACCATAATCATAACAAAGACATTTCATGTATTGTAGGCAGTTTTAATGACAAAAAAATATTAACGGTATCATCAGCCAAGCACTTATGAATTCTGGCATTGTCCATGACATCCCACACATTGTTATTGTTTGTGAATTTAAATGAAGTTGTAAACAAAAATGACATTGAAAAACATCACGCAACTTCCATAACTACTTATAAGCCGTATTATTGGTTATTTAATTTTATTAATTAGCCGTTTTAGATTTATTGTTGCATAATAAAAAAGAAATATAACTAATTATTTATGTTTTAATTGCATAACATAGTTTTTTGCTTGTATAAGCGTAAGGTATTTTATGTTATAAAAGTATCTAGGTACTTATTGTAATGGAAATTTGTTACCAGTTATCTACCGATAAACAATTGTTTTCCTTGAAAGTTTACGTTTCTATCGATAAGAAAGCATTATGCTTTCATTCAAAGGTAATTTTTTTAAATATTTAACAATGATGAACAAAATAGTGGTATTAAAAAAAAGATAAAAGATTACCACCTACAAAGATCCATAAAAATGTTTTATTGTTTAAAATTAATAATTACTTTTAATAAGTAGTGATTATTAATTAATATATAAACAAGTTTTATTGTTAAACGCCAATTTCAATGCTAAGCATAACGTCAACTTAAATTTATTTTATCCTGCCATCTAACTGCAGGATTCACGTACGTGATTAAAATAATTTTTGAGATACATCAGCCTGACTTTTTCCTGCGATTGTGCTTAATTTTTGCCCATCACGATTTTGGACTTAAGGGGGCATTCTACAATGTCGATGCACGATTTTAGCCTTAAGGGGATTAATGTTAAAATAACACTCTGACAATTGGCATTTATTATCGGTTTATGTTTTTAATAAAATAAATAAAAAATAAATATTTTCCTGCAAACACGAGAAAGTAAAAACGAGAGTTAATAAAACAATTAACTACGGTCTGTTCAATCATGACACACAGGCTTCTTAGCTTTTACAGGAAGTCGACACCGGATAATGACTTAAGGCAGAGCATCGGCCTTGTCTATGCAGAAGAATATTAGGTTTTATCTGCTTGAACAATCTTAAAAAACTATGCTTAAAGCTTTTTATCTAAAATATTCTGCTACTTTACATTAATTTCTCAGTTTTTGCAATGCAGATTGGCTATTATATTTATTGAAGCATTTAGTAGCTTTGCTACAGCTTGCATGAAATATGTTTATGTAAGTAGACTTTTAAAATAATAAAATAGGAAATATATGTAGCTAAATCTCAGCCATGATTAAAATTCCTGAAGCCATATTTTTCCAGTTAATAATAAATAATTTTTAAATGAATTATGTATTAGGATATAAATTGTTTTTTTTACAAATACCATGTTTTCTACACCATGTTAATGTCCTCAAAACTGTTAACATTTTAACTAGTAACAAAAAGTTTAATTACATTTGGATGTTTATGTATAACATATTATACTTTTAATATTGAAGTTGTTTGGTTTACTAAAACTTTACCAAAATGTTATAAATAAACAGTTTTGCATATTAATTTTAAATTAGCAACGCAATAGATCGCATGAATCTACTTTTAAGTCAGTACTTGAAATCTTCTTTAAAGTCAGCACAGTGGGGTAAATAATTTGCGCATATCTGCTTCCTAACTTCTCAGCTTATTGAACGACTGTCTAAACACGCCTGATTCTTCTTTGAAGTCAGTACTTGGAATAAGTCAACTATTTTCTAAATATCCTACGCGAAAATTAGGCTTATAATTATGAATGTCATACTCCAAATTCGTAATGTTTAATAATTGTGATTGACAATAATGCTAATATTTTATTCATAATAAATATTTTATTGATGAACAACAATATGTATAAATATTTATGTGAGCAAACACGTATGTGCAAAATATATTTTTAAAACGTGATGTAACTTAAATAATTTTTGTAAGATGCGCAATGAAAAATAATAATACTTAATTGAGTTTTTGTATAATTTATGTTTTTTAAATAAATAAGAAATAGATATATTAACTATTTAGATAGTTTTTAAAAAATAACAGGATTATTCAAAAATTTATAAAAATGTCAAGGCAACATTTTTGCATTTTAATATTATGTTAAAGGGTAAGTTTATAGATTAGTGTTTAGCAAATTTCAGACTTTTCAAATTTTATTTAAGTCGTTTCAGTGTTTAATACATTTAATATTATGATATATTGGCACTACTTAATTTTGAAAAATAAACCTAAAATTGCATCGTTTTATATATGTATAGATATACTTTTAATGGTTCTATTGTCTGGATCGTGTTTTTATCGGTAAATTACGAATTAAATGATATAAAAAGAGAACCTGTTTGGTGGACATGGAATGGCAAGGCAAGATCAGGTTAATTAAAGGTAGAAGATAACCTTGGCATGACATTGCATGCGCTTCTGCACCCGTATCGAAGGAGACAAACTTGACACTCTCCTGCATCTATTTACGCAATTTTCGATCTATTTAACAAGAAAAACATTTAATTTGCGGTTACATGAGTGATTTGAGTGTTGCATTTTTATGTTGACATGTCAAACTTAAATATATAAAAACGGTATTGTATTATATCTGTATACCTACCTGTAAAATGTATTATAAGTAATAATAATAATGTTATCAAACCCTCAGCTAAGATCCTTAATCTAAAGGTTGGGTTGGGTTAATACCTACTTTCAGCACTTGATTTTTCTCACCTTTTCTTACTCTGCTTTATTATTTAGCTAAATGATTCAACCTGGACCAAGCTGGCCAATATTTGCCCAGCGAAAAAATTCTCTTTTTATTCTTGAAAATATTTCAAATTATTTTTTTTGTATTACAGAATCTTTCTAAAGTTATCAACCTCTTACTTAAAATAATATTACGAAACTTATTTTATCTGTGTTGTTTAGGAAATGATTTCTCTCTTGGCAAAAGCAAATATTAAAAAAAATCTTTACATTTTCTATTTGTTTAATGATTACCATTGAAAAGAGAAAAATAAAACACTCGTAAATGTGTAACACTTCCTTAAATATATTCAATTGAAACTTTCCATTGAATGGAAAAATAACGAAATAAACCATTCTAAAGAAGAACTTTTTTTATAAAATTATGATTCCACAAAAAAATACTAAATTATTTTCTTGTATTCTAACAGACATCATTGAACAAACATGCCTTAGATTGTTATAAAAATTATAGAGTCTAAACACAAAATGTAACTTTAAGAAGTCATTGTTGGTCGCTCTAAAAGGAAAGATTAATTTATACCGGTTTAAGTGTGAACCAATCAAGAAGAGTAAAATGGGTATGTGAATATAATCTAAAAGAATTAATGTTGGGTATTATGCAGCAGAATGCCATACCATACCATATGGAAAATATGTTTAATATTGTATAAATAATTAAATTTAATTAATTAATGTAGATTCAAATAGCAGAAATGTTTTATGTATACTTCAAATATTTAATTTTGTGTACAAATATTAACAAACAGGAAAAATAATAATGCAAAGATTATACAATCTAATTAAAAAACATTATTATATCCTTGGTTTGCAAATTCCACAAAATAAAATATCATCATAGTTTAAATAACAAATATTTATAGTTATTGCAACTTAAAATTATAGGAAATGTTTATAATATTTACTAATGCTTTTATATTGCAAAACTTTTGCAATATTTATAAATATGTAATTCAAATGTAATTCAAATTTAGAAGTCTACTTAAATTTCAGACCACAATTTTTGATATCTAAAAAGCTTTTGGATATTCTAGATTTTTTTCTTTTCAGTACCTAAAAATGAGCCCTTATTTCATAGCTTAAATTATCCTGTTAAATGAAATTCATCGAATAACCTAATTTCCTAAAATAATAACGTTGCAAGTTTTCAATGGTCTTTAACGGATTCAACAAAAATATCTTTCTGAATGAACACTGGTACATAACTTGGACATGAAAAACATTTTAGAAAAAATATGTTTGTTCATTGGATGATTATTTAAAAAATTGTGAATTAATATTTGCTTACTACAAATACTTTTCGTTTTTTTCAGGTGTAACAATAATAGTGGATCTGTTACGATGTTACACATTACAGAAGATACACCAGTGGACATGCTGACAGGGGCCATGGACTTAACGGTGCATCTACCAAACGGTAGATCCGTCAAAATGTCCGTGAAAAGAAGGTAATTTCACTTTTCAATTACTTTAACCAACCACAACTTGCTTTATATTAAAAAAACAAAACAATTTGCACTTTCAAATTTTAGGATTGTGTTTATGTTCTTCCAATTTTATTTCATAATATTTAACCGAAAAAAAATGGCACAATAAAAAGCACATTATCTATGGTTAAAATAAAAGATTACATAAACAGATTTGATTCAGTTGTAATAAGGAAATTCCTCATTCTTTATTCGTTAATCGTGAGTTCCTCTAGAAATAAGGACTCAGTAAATTTAAAATAAATGTTTCCTATATTGCCAGCCATCATCAAGATACATTCCATAAGGTTTATTGTAAGTGGGAGATTAGGCAACACTGTGTTTTTACGGTGAGATATATTTTTTTGACAGTAAATGTCATTTTGAAGAGTTTTGAAGAGATAGAGTTGGATGGCTCAGGGTATACGGTGGATAAATTTATTTAACTAATTTGTTTGTTAAAAAGTTTAGGGTTTTTATGGTTTTCAGAACTTTTAGATATTTTTACATTTTATTTTGATTTTTTTAATATGGAAGTACCGATATTTTTTTACACGGATGTTAGGATTTGGACTTTAAAGGGATATTAATACACTGCCCGTCAAAATTAACGCATAAAGTAAACAAATTCTAACTCTAAAACGCCTTTACCAATCTTTATGAAATTTTGTATAAAAATACTTCAACTTATATCTCAGTTTACGTGTTCAAGGGTTTTTCGAGAAAATATCCTTAAAGCCCTTTTAAATAATAGTAAAAAAAACGTTTCTAAAATAACTTTTTGGGAATTTTTTTTAACTAAATAAAAAATTAGACCAGTGCCGAAGCCTTTAAAAATGTTAAAAAGTGAAAAAAAATTACAGTAGGATGAAACCCATTGGAAAAGGAGGAGAATATAATAAAAAAGAAAAAAAAAATAAATTACGGGCGATCTGACTTCGGGAAGTGGGAGGGGGGGGGTTTAAGGGTAAAAAATGGTTTATCTCGATTTCCGGCAAAAATACAAGTCCTATGGAAAAAACTTAAATGGCAAAGTTGTAGGTAATAAAAAGATCTACAACTTTTCTATTTACAATTTTTTCACATAACCTCAAAATTTATGTGAAAAATTCAAATAACCAAGTTTTTGGTTTTTTATTTTTATCTTTTTCAAAAAAAAAATTTTTTCCACGAAATTTGGTGAAAACTTGCCTTTTTATGTCCCAAATACACTGTAATTTATTTGATTTGAAATATTTATTATTTCACCTTATTTTGACTTAATATCAAAAAAACACCCCAATTTTCAATCGAAAATTCTCGCGTCAAAATATCAGCTTTTTTCAAAAAGTCGGTGTGCTTTTTGTTCGTTGAAATCTCTACTTTCTGATGGTGTAAAAAAATATACATTACTATGGTAAATGTTCTCAGAAAATGCAAAAAATATTATAATGAAAAACTAAAAAAACTCGAATTCGAAAATTTATTTTAATCATTATGTACAATTTCATCAAAAAAATGTGATTGTTGCAATTTTTTTTAGTTAAAAAGTTTATTTATTAAATTCTAATAACATTTATGTCAGAAAATCTCATAAAATATAAAAATACATGTAAATCATACTATTGAATTTAGATACTTCATTCTGATTACGTTATTCATTATAATATTTTTTGTATTTTCTGAGAACATTTACCATAGTAATGTATATTTTTTTTACACCATCAGAAAGTAGAGAGTTTATCGAACAAAAAGCACATCGACTTTTTGAAAAAAGCTGATATTTTGACGCGAGAATTTTCGATTGAAAATTAGGGTGCTTTTTTGATATTAAGTCAAAATAAGGCGAAATAATAAATATTTCAAATCAAATAAATTACAGTTAATTTGGGACATAAAAAGGTAAGTTTTCACCAAATTTCGTGGAAAAAAAATTTTTTTTGAAAAAGATAAAAATAAAAAACCAAAAACTTGGTTATTTGAATTTTTCACATAAATTTTGAGGTTATGTGAAAAAATTGTAAATACAAAAGTTGTAGATCTTTTTATTACCTACAACTTTGCTATTTAACTTTTTTCCATAGGATTTGTATTTTTGCCGGAAATCGAGATAAACCATTTTTTACCCTTAAAGCCCCCCCCCTCCCACTTCCCGAAGTCAGATCGCCCGTAATTTATTTTTTCTTTCTTTTTTATTATATTCTACTCCTTTTCCAATGGGTTTCATTCTACTGTAATTTTTTTTTGTTTCAAAAATTATCGACCCTGGTCTAAATATGCTGTTAAAGACAGTATTTTTGTTAGTATACATTTTCAGGGTATACTTACAAAAATACGGTCTTTCACAAAATACTAAAAAAAAAATTCCCTATAAAATTTTTTTTTTCGAGCGTTTTTTATTATTAAATAGAAGGGCTTTAAGGATATATTTTCGACTATTTCCCTCGTCTTAATTTCGACCAATCACAAACGCGCAATTTTGAATTACAAATGGTTTCTAGGTGGAAAAACTGTGTGACAGCACCTGTCAGCAGTTTATTCGAGTTTACCCGCGGCAAAACTTGACAGCTGTTGTCAACAAAAATTGCAATTTATATTTTAATTGTTAACTGTTACTCATGAAATAGTCTTGTCAAATACCATTCGGGCATCTAATTTTTCCTGTGAAAAAAATCGTAAAAACACAATGCTAAGTAATATTTTTTAACAAAAAGCATTCGTGCAGGTGCAAAAATCCTCCTCTTTGACTCGGATTTTTGTTGCCACCAGCACTCATGCTTTTTGTTAAAATATCACTTAGCAACGTGTTTTTTCGATTCTTTTCGGAAAAATTAAATGCCCTTATGATATTACTTACGAAAAACCCTTAAACAAGTAAACTGAGATATAAGTTGAAGTATTTTTATTCAAAATTTCATAAAGATTCATAAAGGCGTTTTTTTACTTATTATGCGTTAATTTGGACCGGCAGTGTATCTAAACTTATATTATTAAAAAAAGGTATGTAATTTCTAATACTTCTTCTTAGTACACCCATGATGGACCTCCTGATGCAAATCTCGACAAAATACAACCTGCAACTATCCGACCACACTTTGCAAGCCCTCAGCATGGCCCCATCTCCTGACAACATAGACCGATTGCTGCCCTTTAAGCCCAACACGCCTATCGGGCTTATCGACACTCAAAACATTAAAGTGCTACCGAAGCCCAAAATGGTAAAAAACAAAATGGCGCCGCAACCTTTCGAAAGCACGTTCAGACTGAAGGTACATTTGCCCAGAAATCAGTTGTATGTAACTAGGGTTAGTAAGTTTGTTCTTCTCGAAGATATTTTGAAGAAGGCTTGCTTGGAGAAGGCTTTGGATCCTAAGAAGTATGCCCTACATCATCCAGGTAAATAATTGCAAAACATTTTTTAACAGATAACTACTTTTTAAATTGACATTTTAAAGTTAGGCAATCAACCTTGCAAGGTATTCATCGCTAGGTTGCATATCATGACATTTAGTTACACTGTACAAGTCGTTCATAACTTGAATCAACACTGGCTTGTTTTTGGGGCATATTTAAAAGGAAAGTGCACAAATAAAAGTAAAAACTTGAATAATAATTAATAAAATGTAAAAATTATTTCTTAAATATAATTATAATATAAATATATTATTTCTTAAATATAATTTTCATTTTTTGCTGCCTCATCCAAATTTTATAATCAAATGTTGTAAGTACCTACATATTTTTGTAATAAACTTTTAGCCACTTTTTTTTAATTGTTATAACTAGTAAGTACCAAATTGTAAATGTTATGCCTTAGGAATAACACTATTGCTAAATTAAATCGAAAGTATTTTCACTTATCAATAATACAAATAAATGAAATATATTCAGATGCATACTGATTTTCACATGTTAATTCAAATTTAATACCACATATTTACATTTATTTGCCTAATTATATTAATAATTATTAGAAAAGATAATTTATTATAGGCTTATGTAGTTTATTAAATTAATACTATTTGTAATTAATATTTATTAGAAACAAAACCATATCATAGATAAAAAAACCATGAAATAGTTTATAAACTTATTATTTAAATTGTAGGTAATCTAGACGAAGTTTTGGATCCAAAATTAACATTAAACGATTACCAAATCACGGAGGTTTATTTAGTGGCAAAAGGAACTGTCAATTTAAACCAAGTATTTTCTGCAAGCGACCTTATGGTTCTTAGAAAAGAGGAGGAGAGAAAAAGAATGCAAGCCAAAACTGGGGGTGGAGTGCTAAGTCTAATTTTTGGAAAAAAACAATCGGTAAGGAAAATGTTAATTTTAATTTTATTTCATAGAGAAAATATACATTTGTTGTTTTTAAATTATTTCATTTTTATATGATGCCAATAATTCCAAAAAATGTTTATTTACCTTATCACGATAAGGTACCTATTGTCCTAATTAGTAGGTATACATTTTATTATAATTTTATCCTTTATAAAATACAAAAAATTTAAATTTCACTTTTTTAAATTAAACCAAACCTTTAAATAATACTACATAATACCATAAATGAATTTTGATCCACTTAAAAACAATAACGTTTAAATGAAAATATTAATCCCGGCACATTCGCCAATTTTAAAAGTTTTTATTAAAAAACTAATAATTACAATAAAATTAATAATAACTAGTAGAATCTATAACTTTTTTTGTGGTAAATTATTTTAATATGTTATAATTTTAAAGAGCAAACAATTTTGAAATTAATTTAGTAGGTATGTAAATTCAATCTTATCTAAAAGTAAACAAAATTCTTTTAAGTATTAATTACGTACTAGGTATTTCAGTTATTAAGTTAATTTATCCAAAATGGATGTACATCATGTAATTGTAAGTAAAAACTGCCTTATTATTGTCATTAATATAGGTTTTTGCTAATTTTTATTGTCATATTAGTTATTGTAATTGTAGAAAGTAACGAAAAATTATAAAATACACATTCAGCCTATAATTAAATTAGATTTTTTTGCAATGAACTTAAATTTATAAAGCATTATTATATTTAATTAAATATACCTAACTGTTTAGAAATAAATTAAAGAGTTGCGTAAACATATGATGGTATTGAATAATGGTGTCCTATAAATGTAAAATACCTAAAATAAATTAATGGTATTTCCAAATGACGAACATAAAGTTTTATGTTTAAATTAAATTTACCCGTATTCTTTTATGGTTATAAGATAATTAAAACCTAATATTTCATAAAAATATGACTGGGGATGTTATAATAAAAACCGATGTTTATTGCAAATAATGACATTGTATACTATACGAACACATATAAAAATTAACTTCATGTAAATAAACGAAAACTAAAAAAACTATGTTCCTAATTTAAATCTAAGGTTGTAGCAAAAAGTAGTTAAGATTAGATAAAATTGTGTAAATGGTTTTAATTAATTTAATTTTATATCATTTAAGATATAACATTTTGTAAATATTACTTACCGAAAAATCAGTTGTGTTAAATTTTTGCGGCTTTTTTTAAATATCGTGCCTAGTCATTTTCTTCTAGGATTTGCCTTATTTTACAAAACAAATTAATAGTTTTGGCTAGGGTTTTAAAATTGAGCCGGCATAAAAAAACGTTTTTTTAGAAAAAAAAACCAAAAAATTGGTAAATTTTACCAAAAAAGTGAATTTTCGACTCTGATTAGGTATAATTATATATACATTATAATATAATTCACTAAGAATCTACCGGGTCGCAAAAAAAATAAATTCGGTGCTGTATTAAAATAACTATCGTTTTATATGACACTTATAATTTTGTAATTTAAATTTATAAATCATTTATTATTTTGTACATGGATATTTTCAATAGACTCCCTTTTGCAAAAAAGGACCCAACCGACAGTATATTTAAAGTTTACGTTTTTTTCTTAAATCAATTCAATTCAATTTAATATTTAGTTTTATTTTTTTTTCTGTAATAAATTTAGGATATTTTTTTAAATTAAAATAATGTTAAGTTGTTAATTATTTTGTATATTTTTAGAAAAAACAATTTTTGCCAAAAAAACAAATTTTTCCAAGGTATAAAAAAACAGGTTTTTCCAACTTTTCCGTTTTTTTTCGACACTTCAAAACACTAGTTACACGAAAAAAAACTATTCTATATTAAAGATTAAGTTAAGCAATAATTGTTTCAAATATTGTCTATTCTTTTTTTAACTTCTGCTCGACTTTAAATGTTAGGATATAATGACCATGTTAATTTTAAACGGTAAAGAGTGGATTGTCCTATCTATTTTTCTCTATCAGTCTTAGAAAATAAGAGATAGCATAATCCAGTCTTTACCTTTTGAAATAAACATGGTCATTATATCCTAACCTTTATTTAAAGTTAAAAAAAGAATAGACAATATTTAAAACAATTAAGTATAGCTTAACTTAACCTGAAAAAATGATATTGGTCTATAGCATTGTCTTTATTACATAACTTTTTTACATGTTTCTAATACCTATCTACTTATATATGTATATATAATATATACTGAAATGATTTTTTCAAACCTTCAGACACGTTGATTTTGTTTGCGAGACTGTTTAACCAAAATTTGTATTCTTACCTATAATCTAGAGGTAAAATATACATAATTGTTTTTTATGTGATTCTTCGGCCAACCTAATATCACTCCAACATATAAGATTCAATACATAATACTACACACATAAATATAATTATGTAATAATTATTACCTACACATACATTGGGTGGTTAATTCTATCCAATTCCACTAATTCCGCTAATAGCAGCTCTTTCATAATTCCAAACTAAATATTAACTAACACAAGAAACAATCTTCCAAAATGTCGGACACTTTCGTGAGTGGGGGATATTTTTAAGAATAGGTCAGTCGTACCAATATTTACTAATCTTGGAATAAATATAATCATATTTATATCCAGTATAGTTTTATATCTTTAAGAACAGAATAGAGAAAATTTTCCAAAATTTGGTCTTATCGATTGTTAATCTTAAATTAAGAAAAAGATTATTTTGTCTTTCTTAACATTTAACAGTCAAGAACAAGATCTGCTTAATTAATATTTAGTTTAATGTTAGTTTTAGCCTTAACAATATTACGTCAATCAAATTGTTTCAACTTTACTTGATTTTAAGCCAAGAAATAAAATCTTTTTAATTTAAGGATAGGTTAATATTTAAAAGAAATTTAATGTATTCGTAGCCGAAGCACATCATTACATTTAGAAAACTTTTTTTTTCTCGTGTAGGGCTAAATAATGTTTATCAGTCTTATGTTTATTGATCATATGTTAATTGATCACAGCCAATTTTTCCTTGGTGAATTTTCGTTTTCCAAAATGAAATAAAATTAAAAATTAACAATTTTAAAAATATTACAAGCCAATGTGGGCATGAATAAATTATTTTGATTTTAGGGTATGGGTTCTGGTTCCTTATCCAGCGAAAACCGATCGATATCCCCCTCCCACAGCGACGACTCCCGATCGGTTACCCCTCCAGCAATCCCCAACCAAATAATCGCCCCGCAAATCAAGGAGCCCGAGAAACCCAAACCGCCCCAACGAAAACGGCGCCCGGCTCCGAAACCTCCAACCGTCGCGAACGTAACGTCGGAAAGTCGAAAAAACAGCGATGCCAATCCTCCGAGCAGCGTCTCGGACAGCGTGGAAATCAGGGAGGGTAAATCTGACAACAGCCTCACGATTTGTCACTCCAGAAACAGCAGTGACAGCTCTGGATACCACGAGGCCTCGATTTTGAGCGACAACTGCAACACCTCGTTGCCAAGGCGTCCTCAGTCGGCTTACGTTAGCAACAGGGTTGCCGACAGTTTGTCCAAAATGCGGCATTCTATGAGTCACAGTACTACCAACTTAAGTAAAATGTCGGCACATTCCAAGTCGACGTCGAGCCTGGCATTTCCTGGTAAGAAAATACGTTTAATTTAGTTTGCATGTGGTTTCTAAAACGCCGAAAAATGTTTAATTATAAAATACAACTGTAAAATTTTTGGCTTTAAACTATTGCTTTTTAAAAATAGTCAATAAATTTTTAATCCAAAAAGTATCACTTTAAAATTTAAAACTAACATTTAAATATAATGTGAAATTTTTGTATAAAAAATTATCGACTATTATTTAAATGACTGTTTACAAATTTAAACCAATAATTTTGCAGAATAAAATATTAAAACTAAAATTTTTAAAAACCAAAAGTTTAAACCTTATCTTTTACATTTGCATTTATTATTTAAAATATTTTTTCATTAACAATTGTTTTGAGATTAAAAAAATTTATCATTTTAAACTATTTTGGTAGAAAATGTTTTTATTTTAAATGTCTCGACACTATTTTTAAATTCTAAAAAATTTAACTTTACCAATTTAATCTAAATAATTTTATAAAAATTTATTTAGGATTTACAAAATTCTGCCCAAATAAATTATACTAAATAAATTATTTTTATTAAAAAATTATAGAATTTTTTGCAAAAATTGATTGGAAATAATATTGTTTAACAGAGAAGTAAACTGTTTTGTCTTTCAACACATAAGAGTAAAAAAAAATTTAAATACAATTTAAACCAATAAAATTTTAAATTAAAAAAATATTTAAAAAATGTTAAAACGGCGTACCATTAAATTTGATGTTTAACTCATTTTTACATTTAACCATATGTTTGGAAACTTTGTATGGAATAGTTATTTATGTATCAAGGCAGTAAAGTCGTATTTTTTATCACGATTGGTGATTCACGAATGTGGAAAAGGCGCAAGCCGAGGCAAATAACCACGTGAGTGATAAAAAATAACTTTTGAGTTCTTTAATATTTAACTGTATATTTCTTTTAAAAATAAAGATAACACGGTGAATTAAAAAACAAAATGTTAAGAGAAGATGGAGCTGTAGTTTGATTTTAAGAGACATGTGCTGTTATAGCTGCAGCCACAGGGCGTTTCAAATTTACTGGAAAAAACTTGTTAATACTCTTGCACCCTAAATACTCAAAACGTAAATTTGAAGAAAAAATTTAATAAAGAATAAACTACAATTTAAAACAAAACCTACCAAATTCGGTTTGACGGTTCGCGAGAAAATCAACTTTAAAATTGTGGAAAATTTTTAGTGCTGCGATAAATTTGACGCGAAGTGTATAAATATTTATGTCGTTAATAGGTTCTTTATAATAGAATTTGTTCCGAAGCACTTGCGCAATTCTACGCATTGTTTCATATTTTTATTTATTAAGGCTGGTTTTTATTTTGGTAGGTTGTAAAATCAATTATTAAAAAAATAACTTTCAAAAATACCAATAGTTGTCAAAAGACTCGTCCAATAGAGCAACCTTAAAAATTAAATAACCTGCAATTTAGCAAATTCGAAAATATTCTAAGAAAAAAATTGTACTTAAATCTTAGGAGAAATTTACCTTTGCCCCTTATGTGCCAATTATACGCTAAACAAGTATCGCTAGTAGCGCCACCTCGGCTGTTATCATCGTAACAAAAGTACAACTTTTGATAATCACCTGTCAAACGCGTGTGTTACAAACGAGTGTTTTTGAGAATAAAGCCGGAAAATGTTAAAAAATATCGAAAAATAAACCGTGTCACGATTTGTTGTGTTGTTGGGTGTATTTCGAAAGGAAATCCTGGGTTGAGTTTTTATCGGTTTTCCAATAAACAGTAATCCGAATCAAGAAATAAATTTCATACAGTCCCTGTAAATATAAATTATATCTATTAGATACAATAAATACACATTTTAGTAATGATTAAAGTGAAAAGTGTAAATATATCAATTCAGTAAAAATCGTCAAACAAATAAGTCGTCTAAATTTAAACAGCATTTAGCATTATTAGAAGCGTTGATTAAGAATTCTTTAAAGTCTCCACTCAACGGTAAAATACCATTATATTATGTATTATAAATATATAATATTATGTTGCCATAATATTTTGTTGTTTAAAATGCAGTTGTCTGCGTTTTTTAGAGAACTCAAATATAAAAATGGTTGATTTTAAGGTTATGTTTGTGCAAAAATTATTTTTTACTAATTTCTTAAAAATTTCCATACTTAAATGTAAATTATATTAGGTAAAGTTATCATTAGTTTATTCTGCACCAACAAATGTACTTACCGAATTGGATCCTTTGACAAAACATGAAAATGCAACGATTTAGATCTTGAATTTTATTTACAATTAAAAACACAATAATTTACCATGATCCCTTAGCTAAAATACATACACTAACGTAACTATTTAAGCATTTAAGCGTTGAGTTTCTTAATCAATGATATAAAGAATAATCAATCGAAATCGAGTACTAAACCATTTTTTAGTTTTTTCCTTGTAACGTAAAACACAAATAACGTGCGCGATTTAGCTGCGCAATTGAACGGAATTTGTCGAGTAAGACTTCTGCCTTCCTCTCTTTTGTAAAAAAACTACCTATTTATTTAAAAATGATGTACAGTTCGTATGCTCTAAATATATTGTTGACAATTCTTAAATTCACGCAAGTCCACCAGATGGCACGCGCGTTGCGAAAACCCGATACTTCTTTAGCGTATGATGACAAGAAGTCAAAGAAAAAAATTATAAATAAATATATATTTTTACGTTAACATGTTACGTGTTATAAATTCGTAATCCATTAGAGGTTTCTGGGGAACGGAAAAAGATTAATTTGAAATTTTAAAAGCGTTTATAATTCATTTAAGTTTATTTTTACAAAATATTTTGAACAAATTCCACCTGAAGTGACATAACTTTGTTATTTTAAATAAAACATCCCTTATATTTTTACATTTTTAAATTACATAAAATTCTTATACCTAAAGTGAATAGATTTTGAGTTTTCAATTTTTTTCGTTAAAATTTGAGAAATGCGCGTCAATCCAAAATAGCCTATAACTTTTTTGTCACTAGGTTTGCTAATATGGAGGTGGAATTTTTTGGGATCCCAAAACATTGTTTAAAAGATTCATTGTCAATTCTTTAACATTTTTCAACAAACTACCTAAGAAAACCCAGGGCAAATTAGGCTTTAACTTAAAAAGTTATATTAAATGTTACACCCGATATGTTTTTACATAATCAAAAAGTAAATTAAAAAACCTTTCGATTAATGTAACTATCCCTAAACTTAAAGTAAATAATTTAAGAGATATTTAATAATTTCTCAATACTTTTGTTTATAAGTTTAAATCTGTAAACTAATAGCTGTCTAATAAGTCGTGCTGAAGAAAAATTTGCTATTTTTATAATGGACAAGGGTTTTAAAACCTAAATACGTACCTAATTTTATTGTATATGTACCTAAATAAGTAATAAAACATAATTTAATATTTTCATAGAGGACCTTTTTTCACGGAATGACAGTGCGTATTTTATATCCTTAAAGGATTTGAAGGGCAAGCTACGTGTTCGTGCGTGGTTGTTACATATAAATAAATTATCCGAGAATCAAGAATTCCACCTGTAGGTAGTTGAAGAGTGGGCACAAATAGATACTAAAATTGCTACACTTGCAGTCCACAAGCTGAAGTTGAAAGTGAAAGAAGTGTTGAGATCTTTTATATTTGTGAGTCATTGTTAACACCAAATCTTAGTTTAATTTTTAATATAACCATTGTGAGATTTTTATTTACTAAGGGTCTAAAAGAATAATAATAATAATATTTCTTCAAATGTCATGATTCTGCCGTTTGTTTTCTTTAAGAATATTAATTACTAAATAAAAAAAAGGTTTGATTAATAAAAGAAAGGATTTTTCTCCAAATGAATAATTACTACAAAGTAACTGAAAATATAAATAGGTAGGTATTTCAAAAAACTGATAGTTACTTTCTGAACAAATTAATACAGCAATAAAAGAATCAATATGACATAAGTGAAGATGTGTAGTTAGAAATTTAGTGTATTATTATGAAACATTTTTAACTTTAACCACTAACAATTTTGCTAATTAACTATCTATAGATTCGTATACGAATTTGTTGTGGTTTCAGTACGTAAAATTAGTGTTTTTAGTTTTAATTGGCCCGTCTAACCAAATAATTATGTAAAATGAAACTAATAAAGTTTATAAAATATTTGTCAACCTATTTAAAAAGGTTAATAATATTGCAAAATACTAATATGGAAACTGGTTCATATAAAAAATACATGATTGTGAATTATAAATTTGCTGGATAATTTTTGTAATTATTTAATAAGGACATAACTAATTGGGTTTTATTGTTAACCAAGTAAATCATTTTTAATTGGGGCAATAAATATTTTAATTTATTATACTACGTTTAATTCAGTATTTTACCAAATAATACGCATTTACTTTAAATATTAAGTATTCCAATAACAATAATTATATATTCTTCGTTAATGCAATGAATAAATAAATAACAAAGTGTGGGATGAGTTGTGTTTTAATGCAAACCTAGTATAAAGTAAAGCAAAGTCAATATTAATAAATACCACAATGTTTGTAATTACATTTAAACAAACGTTTGATTAAACCGAAAATAGTATATTATGTATCAAGTTTGATAAACGCCAATTACTTATAATATCTTAAAAATATTTAAATTAAATATTTGTATAAAGAGACATCTTTATGAAAATAAAGTAACCACCCACTGTTAAAAATAAAAAATGTAAAATTACTACATTTTTACTAGGCAGTTGCATAGTAAAATTACAAAATGTTGTATTGTATTGCAATTTTAATACGCATTTGTTGTAATTTTACATTTTGTTATAGCCAAAGTACTAAACAGGTTCCAATTTTACAATGTTTTTGTTTTTGTCAGATACTTATAGTAATTTTACAATTTTGTATTGTACAATTGAATTTGAAATTTTGTAAAATTTCTATACATATTCGGTATTTAATTTTACTAAGATAATCAATAAAATTACTTGAATTACAATAAGTGTTTGGAAATATACAAATCATTATTAATTTTATACAACTTCTGTTTGCATTTTCATGTACACTGTTAATTTTTTTTGTAAAATTACAATTGTTTTGCAAAACAAAGGATGAATAAAATTACAAATAAGTGTATACCAATACAAAATTATAATACAATTTGAGTAATCTTCCAAGACATGTTGGGAAATCTATCTAAAATAAGTTGTAATTTTACAATCTATATGTATAAATCCTACACGCATTGTAATTTTACTAAACAGGTTGGCAGTTTCTAATAAAAAGCATCTCAGATTTACAAACGTTGTTTGTAATTTGATTTGCTATAATGTTATGTAAAATGCATAGTATGTACCGATTGCGGCAATCACGTGATGTTCTTACGCCTCGGTTGACTTAGGTAGACAGTATATAAGCTCAGAGTCTTCCGTTTTTGGTGTGTTAAAATACACCAAATTGCCCGACATTGATAAGACCAAAAATAGGTTTATTTGAAGTTGGCGGAACGCACTTAAAACAAAAACTCTGGCGAGGTGAAGGTTCAATTTTTTTAATCTGTACAATAATGGGTTTTTCGTAGTATAATTACAATACCATCATTCGTAAATTTCTAAATATTTTTAGTGTAATTTGTTGTACAAAATAACAATATTTTAATTGTAATATTGCGAAACGAATTTTTAGTACAATACACCATTTTAAAATTACTAAACATATTTAGTAATATTTTTAGCAAAATTACAATACCTGTATAGTAATGTTACTAAACAAATTTTAAATAAATGCTTAGTGAATTTCAACAAACGTTTTGTAATTATCCCAAATTAAGTTGTAATGAATCGTGTAATGAATTTACAAAACTAAGTTTTATTACTATTTTGTGGTGCTTAAAAACTTCCTAAACATGTTTAGTAAAATTACAATAGAAATTTTTAACAGTGTCCCAATAAACATTTTTGACGTAATTTTCAACATTAACATGGCTCGTTATTATTTTAATTAAACTTAACAATTATTGATATTGATATTGATTTTATCCTTTGATTTTTTTTATAACGATAATTTTAAAATATTATCACAAAGTATTAAAAATTCTTACCGTTAGCATTCCTAACTATGGAATCTACCGGCGTTAAAATCTCAATTTTTTTGTGTAAATCAAAATTTATCCTTTGAAATAGACCAACAATCGATATATGATATGATATGATAATGGGCAGTTCAAGACAAGGTTTTGTTTAAAAAAAAAGTAGATAAAATAGTATATTACGCAACGGCCAATTTTTGTTGTAGATTTTGACTTTTTTCTTTTTATTTTCAGGTCGAAAAAAGAAAGCAGCCCCTCCACCTCCACCATCTTTGAAATCATCCGCTTCTGTAACGAACCTTGTAGCCCCTAGTCCTGTAGTAGCTAGTCAAAATACAGGTAAGTTCACCCATTTTTTCCAACGATCTCTGTCTTGTACCTTTGCGCAACATAACACGAAAAAACCTCCAAAACCAGGAACAAATGCAAACAACAAAAGTATTTACAGTAGTTTCATACGCGGTCTAGATTTTTTTAAATCGCAATCAAGAAAAAATAGTTTGGTTTTGGGAAAAAAAACTTTAACTTTGGGGCAGATTTATAAAGAAAATACGATCCTTAAGGATAGTGTCGATACTGATGATAGTGGTTCGGTATGTAGCATTAAGTTTGTACCTAAAACTGATCGCGAAATTATTAATCATCCCGAAATAACACAAAAATGTCTTGATGTAGCTCCTGTTGAAGCTGATAAAAAACCTAAGTTATTTTTAAAAAATGGACACAAACCTGTTGTTGAACTGGGTAAACAATTTAAACCAGAAGCATTCTCTAAAAACATAGCTATTAATAATAACTCAAATTTAGAAAAAATACCAATTAGCAATATAACAATTCATTCTTCAACAAAGTTTTCTGAAAACGAAGACTGTTGTAAACAATTAAAGAATACAAACAATATTGACGATGAAGATGAAGATGTCCTTGATACAACAAATGATGACGTAGTGTATTCAGATTCCGACGAACTTGGTATAGAAGGTCCTGACTTTAGACCCCCCGTAGTGGAAGCTTACGGTTTAAAAAGAAATAACAGCAAACGGAAATTCGGCAGTTCCCGAAAGTTACCATGTAGAAAAGAATCACCAACAAATACACTACATAAAATTTACAATAAAAGCGTATTTCTTAAGAATGCTTCTGATGAAAATTGGAATCAGTTCATATCAAAATTGGATAACATTATGGGTAGCAAAGCAACAGAGTTTTTGTAAATATTGGTTTTTATCCAATAAAAAGTCTTTGGTTTGTTTTAAAACCATACTGTAGCATTTTTTCCTGAGTTGCACTTTATTTATTTATATGTACTTTGGTGTAGGTAATGCTTGAAATGTACGTATCAAGGTTTTTGTTTTTTTTTTAACAATGCTCCTTTACTAATTGCTTTGTATTTCGCACGTTAGAAACGTCCCAAGAAGCACAGGTTTTAGTTAATCCCAAACCTTTGCCAAGAAAAAAATTCATTCAGTCTGCAAAAGATGAAGAACTAAACAAAATCGAAGAAGAACCCAGCAAAACCAAAAATAATGATGAAATTACCGAAGATGAAATTAGAAAGATAGAGAAAGAAGAGCAAGTAGTATTAAGAAGAAAGCCTAAAGAAGATTATAGGGTTGTCAACTATAAAAGTGTAGTTGATGCTTTAAAAGATTTTAATGAGAATAATAAAAGAATATTCACGATTGATGACAATGATAAAAAAGAACTACAAATAGAAGATGATAATGAAAGTTTACAAAGTAATAGCCTAGTTGAAATAAAAGGATATAAAAACGATAATGATTACAACCAACTAATTATTCAAAATGAACAACCCGATGAAGAAAATAGACACTTTAAACTGGGCAAAATGGATGACAAAGCAAAACTCAAAGTCTCAAAATCGCTTCCAAATATTGTAAGCGTCAATGAAGACGTCAAGCCACCTGAAATTGTGGGTATGATACCAAAACAAAGACCGAAATGGAACACAAAGTTCGACACCTTCGGCAGAAAAACTTGCTACAAAATAGGCATGTCCTTGGTAGATGAAGATTCATCAAGTATGGAGTCAGGAAGAGCTTCTGTTTCTTCAGCCATGGCTAAATTTAATTATGATGATGAGATTGACGATTACAACGACAATTTATTCGAAAGGTCAGCTGCAAGAGAATCCGAAGGATCTAAAATGTTTAGTCAACTCTACGGAATGCACAGTCATGAGGTAGTCGAAGAAAACGATATGAAGAAATGGAATAATTGCGAGGATTTGGATAATATATCGCAAAATTCGATTTTTGATGCACGCAATATTTTGGTGAACGGTGGTAGTTTCGATACAGGCATGTTTATTTTTTTATTAACAATTTCTTAACTTTTCATATGGTGATGGTTAATTAAGGAAAATTGACAAAGTTTTTTTTATTATTTAGGTATAAGGTCTTTATCTCTTCTATGATCTACCTAATAAGGTGCTTGGTAAATAAACACATATCTTAAATACTTTTAACCAAAAAAATGTCTCTTTTTAAAAAGTATATGCTAAAGAAGAATCGAAAAAAACCGTGGCACGATTTGTTGCGTTGTTGGGTGTTTTTCGGGAGGAAATCCTAAGTTAAGTTTTCACCGATTTCCCAATAAACAGTGTAAATCCGAATGAAGAAATAAATAGCATACAGTCAGTCTACATATAAATTGTAGCTATTAGATACAATAAATAGATATTTTAGTAATGATTTACGTGAAAATTGCAAACATTTCAATTCAGTAAAAATCATAAATCAAATAAGTCTTCTAAATTCAAGCATGTTGCCATGAATTCGTAGGTATATTTTGTAGTTTAAAATGCAGTTGTTGGCGTTTTTTAGAGGACTCAAATATAAAAATATTCGATTTTAAATATAAATTTTATTAGATATATTATTAAGTTATCATTAGTTACTTCTGCACCAACAAATATACGTAACGAATTGGATCCTTTGGCAAAACATGAAAAGCAACGATTTAGTTCTTGAATTTTATTTACAATTTAAATCACAATAATTCACCATGATCACTTAGATAAAATACACACACTAACGTTACCATATAAGCATATTAGCGTTGAGTTTCTTAATCAATGATATAAGGAATAATTAATCGAAATCGAGTACTAAACCAAAGTTTTTTAGTTTTTACTTGCAACGCGAAACATAAATAACGTGAGCAATTTAGCTGCGCAATTGAACAAAATTTGTATTTAAAAATGATGTTCAGTTCTTATGCTTTAAATGTTTTGTTGACAATTCTTGAATTTACACAATGCTAAAGTTAAAAAATTCCTTAAATTTAAGATAAATTAAAACAATAATTGTGTGATAGGGCATAAAATAATTAATAAAAATACTTTAATTGTTTTTTAACAAACCCTTGGTAATTTATGGTCAAAATGTATTTAATAAACTATTTTGTCAATTTTGCTTAATCATAATAACACATAGCAAAAATATTCAATATGCAAATTTTGTCAAAAAGCACACATTTTTTAAATATGTTAACATCTAAAACATTGAATATTTTTGTATTGGTATTTTGTGCAAGTTTTTGAGAGATTGCTTTAATTTCAGACTCACTAACATCCAACAATTTCCAAACACCGCTAGATAGCTTAGCATCCCATCTTACGCACTCGGAAGACATTTGCACAAAAACAGAAGAACCGGAACCGGATACATCCAGAACTCCGCCGGAACTTCCAGCGAACCCGCCTCCGAAAATACTTCTTCAAAAGAAAGAAGTTAAAAAAGAGGTGGTGGAAGAAGCAAAGTCTGAACCTGAGGAGATTAAAGTTGAGGTGCTCAAACCTGAAGTAGAAGTTGTTTCTGAGGATACTGTAGATAAAGTTAACGAGACTGAAGAACCAAAAGAAGTTGACTGGCAATATCAACTACCCCCTCCACCGGAAGGATTTAGAGATGCTTCTAGTATAGCAGACGCGACGATTAACGACGCAACGATACCCGATTCAGTTGTAACATCACCCGAATTATTCGAAAAACTTAAAGCGGTTGAAGATACCCAATCAGAACCCGCTACTGTCGCCAGTAGTACGATAAGTGAAGATGAAAACCCACTTCTGAACAACCTATCGCTGGAAAATTTGGAAAAGAGAAAATCTTTGGTGTACAATAGAGAGTTGGCGACCAGTCTTAAAATGACTGATGGACCGGAGACTTTCACAACTTCTTTAAATAAATTTGAGTCTACCTATGAGGAAATAAAACGGTCTAGTCTCACTACAACTGAACCAAAGCAATTGGTCACTGTTAAAAGATCTACCAGCACTTTACCCAACTTCAAAATAACCCCCTACAACAACCCCAAGAAAAACATTACAGTCTTCGAGGACGACACCATAAGAAGCAATACTTACATAAAAAACAACGTGACAGCTAAAAAAGAAACAAACCTTAGCAAATCTTACGTGGGAAGATCGATGGAAAACATCTCTTTCAGGAAAAACAGCTGGGAAAACCAATCGGATGACGACAAATCAAGAGATACCAACTATAACGTTTACAGACCCAACCAAAACATGAAATTCAAAAATGCCCTTGCAAACTCTCTAATGTATAGATCGGAATCGTTTTCCTCTGATAACCACGGACCAATCAAGCCGGTGTCCAGATCCAAAAGCACATTGACTCTAAATAAATATAAAGAGGACAAAAAGGAGTGTACAAGTTTGGAAAATAGGAGCAACAGTCTTCTGGACGTCTCGGGTCTTCAAAGTTTGGAGGTAAGTCACTGTAACACAAATCACCAACCAAGCACTATTAAGTTTGAGCGATAAGGAATAATAATTGGTTAGGGGTTAAAATTCATTTCGTCTAAATCGCAAAATTGTATTATAATGTTTCAGGTAATGAAATCCATCCAAAATCGTCTAAATACCTCGGTGGAAAACATCAATAAACAAGAAACATCACAACTGAAATCAGTAAAACCTGAGGAAATTCAACCGGAACAACCGAAAGTCTACCACTACAGAAGCCCTCCTTCAATAAATTTAGGGACTTGGAGTGAACGCCCTAAAGCCCCAATTAGCGTCAAAGAAGACGTTGATTATAACGTATCATCAAAACTAATAGTTAACACAACGAATAACAACATTACCAGCAACAATAGTATAGAGGTGAATAATAAACCCAACTCAACATACAGCAACAATGGAAGCGTTAATGTTAGGGTGGGAGGATACCAACCAAGCGAACCAAAACATGTTACGATAAAAGTTAACGGCACCGAACCCATATCAACTGAGAAATCCGGTAACGTCGTAATCAAGATTGGAAGTTGTAAGCCTTTGGAAAATCAAAAATTTGTCAGTTATAGAAAACCGTTGGGCAATATAAATAAAATCCAAACTCAACGACCACATTCCATTGCGTTTGATGATTTATCCCACGTTCCTGTGGTGAGGTCTGTAGAGCTGAAGAAGCCTTACAAAGACATGACTTCCATAACTCAAATCAACCAAGTAAATGAACCCAAACCTGTATCCAGAGTTAACAGCTTTACTCCAGTTGTAAGAGGATTCAAGAGGCCAGAAAATATGAACACACCCAGAAACAGGCTGTCTTGGAACCCACCAAACCCAAATATCTTCGACTTGAACAAACCTAAAGATTACGAATCCTACTCAACCAACAAAGACGTACCCTTCTCACAATCCAACCTAAGGCGAACAGACTCAAAGAAAATATTAAATTCAGACGCCAAAACAAACCTAAACAACCAGAAAAACAGCAGTTACAATTCTCTAATTCAAAAGAAACCTGAAGTGATGCAAACTCCCCCACCACCACCACCTAGTTTGCCTAAATTTGAGGTAAAAAAACCGAGGCCTAGACAAATTGAACCAAAAGAGGACCCCAGGGATCTCCTATTGGATTCCATCAGAAATTTCGGGGGCAAAAAAGGTCTGAAATCTATCAAAGGTTAACTCCTTTACTTACTACGCTTTTTCTTTGTAAATAGAGTGTTATAGTCATCATATAATATATTTAAAGCTCAATCATAGTGAATTTTCTGGTATTATTTATATTATTATTATTAAAAATATTAATTATTTACTATTCTTGTACATTGTCCTTAACGTAATACTATGCATTATTATCGAATTGTATATTATTGATAAAAATATATAGGGACCAAAGGTTTTGTGGATTATTATTTATTTTCGTATATATACTCACTAGTACTATGTATAAAATAATAAATTATATTGTTTAAACAATTTTTGTTTTATTTAAGTCGGAGAAAATTAACGTTTCAAGAATTACGAATGAGTTATTATAGTTCTATAGGCATTTGTATTAATACTTTGTTCGCTTTCTTTGTATTGTTTGAATTACCCATTTTAGTTTTAATTTTACCATAAATGGATATTTTACGTTAAATTTATTGTAAAAAAATCCTAATTTCCTCTTAAAGGTATACAATTTTAAGTTACTTTAATTTGTTTTTTTGTCGTTATTTAAATAAAACATTACCAAGCCAAAGGTGATAAAATATATTATTTAATTTATTCAAAATTTTTATGACCTTTAAATAAACATTGACAGTTGTGCCATATATGGCCTTTTAGTCACGGGCTTAAGTTAGCAACAGGTTTTTAGTCACGGGCTGAAGTTGGCTTTAAGTTAGTTGACAGTTGTCAAATGTCGTACAATCGTTAAAAAGTGTCTTTCTTATAAAATAATACTAAATGTAAAAATTATTTAATAATGTCAATATAAAACCGTTTCTATATCGATTGTTAGTCTATTTTCAAGGGATAAATTTTACACAGAAAAATTTGACATTATAACGCCGGTAGATTACCAGGTTAGAAATTCTAATGCGAATTTCAATAAATACAACTGTCACTTTTTGTACCTTTAACATTTCCCGTGTAAAAATTTTTAATAGGTACTTGTGATATTTTGCAATTATAGTAATAAAAAAATCAAAGGATAAAGTATGTTCTTAACAAAATCAAGTATCTTAAAGTATATTAATGATGAAAATTACTTCAAAAATGTTTATTGGGATGGTTACTTTATTTTCGCATAGATGTCACTTTATACAAATATCTAATTTAAATGATTTTTTAGATAATATTAAGTATTTGTCGTAGAAAAAGTATAGTATGCAAGCTCACTTGTGCCTAAATACTATTAAATACTCTCCTATTAACATTCTAACAACCTAACTCGTTATTTGTATACATTTTTATTCATAAGATTTTCTTTAAAACCCAACTTTAATCTGGGATTACTAATCCCGATTAGTACTCCTACATTTGACTTTATTTTCATGTAGCGCTCATTAACTGAAAAACATACAAAAAGTGGAAGTTTAAAATTCTTGTGGCAGAGCGACGATATTAACATTGGAAAACGCATTAAAATCAAGTGGGTGCGTTTCTTCGGTTCTTAACCTGAATTATAAAGAGGGCCTTGACCTGGTCACCTTCTATCACCTGCGATAAAAACATATTTAATGTTGCTATTTTGCATAAGTGTCCACTTTAATGGCGAAATCTTCTTTAAAAAAATCGCAGGTCAGCTTTTAAAAAATATTTTTAAGAAATGTAAATAAAAAGTCATTTATAATCACGTACAAAATAAATCAATAAAAGAAAGTACTGTTGATGTAATAATACAATTCACAAATGATGTTGAAAGGATAAGCAATTAAATAAAATTATGGGAAAGGAAATTTAAATAATATTAAATAAGTGGCAAGACGTCGATTTTCCGTTTTGAACCTTTTTTAGATTTTAACCGTTTAGCTTTTAACTGTACATAATAAAAATAAATTTAAATGTCTTTTTATAAAAAAATAAAAATTTGATTTTGCCAATAGACCTAAATAGCTTAAATCTAATAATTTAACCTATATGAAAACACTTTTAAAATAGACACAATATGGGGCAAAATGTTAAATGCAACACGTCTTAAATATTATCAATCATTATGATTTATTTTTAAAGTGTTTTAATTGTTGATGTCAGTCAAGCGAGTTTAAATATATATTGCTTCTGGCATAGGCAGTTTGTGAATTAGTAGTGTAGTAGTGTCTTAAAATGTCTGCAGATTGTCCAACTATTGGGAACACAAAAAATAAATATCCGGTTTTTGTAAGGTAACACAAATGTTTTTTTATAAATTTAGTGTACGATTACAAAAATAACTATATAAACAGTAGCTCTTTAAATGTGAAAAATATTTTAATTTGATAATTTTTATAATTAACGGGTTTTCTTAATTGCCTATAAAATATTCCAACTATACAAAAACAAACGGTTTTTTACCTAATAATAATAGTTTGAATAAAATTTAAATTATTTTATAAAAATTATATGTTTTTAAGTGCAATGTAAATTTACATTATTAGCGTAGAATGTACCAAATTTAAGTAACAATTCCGGGCAAACATTTTGGGGGGACATGTCCCCATTGTCACCCCACATGCATTTGCCACTGGCTGCAGTCATAAGTAGTAAACATCTCAAATTATATGGTTTTGTTATATTAAAATTGGGAAATTTTCAAAAAAAATGACTTTTGCATTTTTTATTTTCAAGGTAATGCAAAAGTAATTTTTTTTAATTTTACAATAAATGAGTAAAATGGTTGTTCTTAGCACTTTAAGGCCTCTTTTAAGGGTTACTATGAGAAAAACAATGTTTAAAACAATTATTAATCTGTATAAACAGAGCACAAACCCAAAGCACAAAAATTGTAAACAACAAAAATGGCCGCCGTTAAACTGTGCAGTGTTGCAGTGATTTTTTGTATTTTTAGTACGAGATAGAACAGACCTTGTTGTGTGGATTGTGCGTACACTGATAAAAAAGTAAATTTTCGACGCTGATTATAATCATATAATATGATAAAATTATTATTAAATTAAATTAAATTTATTAAATTATTTTTATTTAGTAAGATTGTATTTTTTTTCTACTGGACCGCAAAAAGAACATTTTCATTAACATAACATTTTCATTAACATAACTTTTATTTTTATTTGACACTTTTTAACTTTAATTCATTATTTTGTAATTGTTCTTTTTGCAAGACCCAATCTACAGTATGGAAAGCTTACTTTTATTTTCTTAAATTAACTTAATTCAATCCAATACAATTTAGTTTTTTTTTGTAATAAAAGATATTTTTTTAAATTAAAATGTTAAAATGTTGTTTGCTACTTTTTTTTAAATGTGTTTATTTTCCAAAAAAATCAATTTTTACCAAAAAAAAAACAAAAAACAATTTTACCAAATTTCATAAAAATACTAATATATTTTTAGATTATTTTTAAGTATTTACATATGTAGGTTATTTTTTATTTTATTTTACTTTTATTTATACCTTTAAACAAACAAACTGTTTGCCCATAAATAGAATCAACAAAAAAAAAATTAAAAACAAGATTTTTAAATCAATCGCTTAAATAAAATTTATAAAAATTTATTAAATGAAATATTTGTACCAACTTAGTACGTGATTTAAAAAAAATTGCCCCCTCAAAAATATTTCTCTGGATCCGCCCCTGGACAAAAGTAATCCGTTGGACATTTATATCAAAATGTATCAAGTGGATTGATTGGGTTTTGTTTGATTGCTCCTCAACTGTAAAATCATTTAAGGAATATGTTTTATAGAATTTTGTGAAAAAATTTTACCCTGTATTATACAGGCTGTATATAAAAATAAAAGATAAATACAAGTATAAGATATTATAAAAACCCATAATATTTATTTACGTGTCAAGCTTTGTAAATGAATCTTTACGGGCGAGCTGGAAGTTTGTGGGGTAAGCGACGCAGGAGCGAACCCCATAATCCAGTAAGCCTAGTAAAGATTAATTGCAAAGCGTGACACGTACAAACTTTTATTTTCAAATTTAAAATTTTAATTAATGTCAAATGTGACATTTCATTTCATAAACTGCTTTTCTACAAGCCTGTAAAACTTTACAGGTATTTTATACAAGCCCATAAAATATTACAGGTCTGTTCCAATAATGTATCGTTTACTTGGATACAAAAACAACAAAATTAACCTATAAAATGTCATTTACTAAGAAGGTGAAAATAAACTTTTTAAAAGACAACCCACCTAATGGCTAATAAATAAAATTTAATAAATGAGCAAAGAAAAATGTCATAGTTAAATTTAAAAAAGCTGTCAAAATGGAGTTCAAATGTCACTTAAAATATTAAATTTCAAAATTCAAAATTTAAAAGTATAATGGTAAAAAAGAAGGCAAAAGTTTCATACATAATACCTAGAATGAAAGATCTGAACGCCGCAAAAGCTATTATCGGAGCAATCGCATTTTTGCAAAAAGCTGGATTTTGTTCGACAGTAAGAGACATAAGAACATGCATAACGCACCGGAACACCCCATTGCAAAGCAACCGGTACATCCCCTTACTCAACGAGTATTTGACCAGAGGTTTAAGCTTGGGCTTGATAAAGAAAAATCGCGGCAACTACCGGCTAATGAATCCAGAAATTAAAAAACGAAAAGTAGCAAGGAGAAAAAAGAAGAGAACCAAAAAACCTTCAAAAAAAATTATCGCAGCACAAGGAGAAGAAGCAAGTCAAGTGGTGCCCGATCTTATACAAGAACAAAGAGTTCCAACAGAACCAGGTCCAATCCAACCAGAAATAAAAATGTCTTCTATAAAAGTTGAAGAAATTGAATCGAAGGATTTTAAGGCATAGCCTAACGCGTTTGGTATACTTAATATAATATATTATGTATGTGTAGCTTTAAATTTATAATAAATCAAATATATAAGATATCGAATTTTTATTTGTATTTTTCACTAGTATTAAGGTATTTTTTAAAAACACTATTGGATTGAATGACCCTGCATGAAAATTAAGTTAATGGTTAAACCTTTTTTTGATTCTAATCATACATTGAACTTTTAAAAACCGGTCGAATCCGTTATGATAGACCAAAATCTGGTCTTTAATTAATCTCCACTAATACGTAGCATATATTAAATATAATTTTTTATCAGTAAGCAATAAAATTTTATTTGGTATATTAACAATAATACAATACAATAGAAATCTCCACAAATAAATTTTGTTTTTTAATATAATATGTACATAATGTTACCGGAAGGTACCATACCATTAAACATAATAATTTTTTATAAGGTTTGTAATAAATTTGTAATTAATTATTACTTAATTTTGATTACATTTTGGTAAAGATACTTATATGAA